TTATTAAAACTTTGACAATGACAAATAGCCTATTAAGATTTGTTTGCAGAACACAGCTATGTAGTATGTACAACATGTGCCTGCAATGGTTTTTTTTAATTTATTTTAAATCTCACACTGCTATAATAAGGCAGCCGGTGGTTCCACATGCCGCACAAGGTGCCCTTATTTTTCACTGAGCACCTGCCCCCCAAAATGTCTGTGCACACCACTGAATCAGTCCCACTATCCCCCCCAGTGCAGCATGCTTGATGAAGGAGACATCATTAGGTTGTATTTGTTTAAACTCTGGCTCTTGCTTTGCATTTTAGGTTACCTCTGATAATGCACTAACTGGTACTGCTTAATGGAAATACAATTTAAAATGATTTGATTGGCTACAGGCTAAAAGGCTAAAAACACATTTTCATGAAAAATGTGCAGCTCATCAGGATGGCAAACTGGGGCTGCAAGAGAAGAGACTTCCATCCCCACTGAGCGACACACCACAGTTTCATCTTATTTCAATTTTCAATTTCAATTTTATTTATAAAGCCCAATATCACAAATCACAATTTGCCTCACAGGGCTTTACAGCATACGACATCCCTCTGTCCTTAAGACCCTCACAGCGGATAAGGAAAAACTCCCCAAAAAAAACCCTTTTAACGGGGAAAAAAACGGTAGAAACCTCAGGAAGAGCAACTGAGGAGGGATCCCTCTTCCAGATCTTGTCCAGATCTATCTAAATCCTGACATCAGCAGGACACTGGCAGGCTCAAAAGGCTCAAATAAGGTAAAGTTGGTCCCACAGCTGTGACCAGCTGACTTTTTTCTAAATTGGAAAATGAACAATATGTCCCATCTGGCCATACTGCTGTCAGGAAGCACCAACTCTGACATCACTAATCTTGTTTCTCCATAATTTACAAAAGAGTGATTTGGTCATTTAAATAATACATGGACTGTCAATTGACCACAAAAACCAAAGTATAAAATATATAGCTGACAGAAGCTGATGTCTGTAACTGCAAACTAAAGCTGGAGTTTATACAGTTTGCTATACGAATTGCTCACTTGGACATATGGTAGAAAAATCAGGAAATGTCTCAAAATATGATAAAAACACTGTAAATCTCATCTGTTGTCTATATAATGTAGAAAATGAACTTAAGTCCAGTGCTGTGAAGCCTGTCAATTAATACTAGCACCTATGACAGTGACCTGTGTGAGATACCCATCTATGATTGGCAGAGGCTTGAGAAGGAGGGTTGTTGTTATGCCTGCTAGTATGTGTGTGGAATTTAGGAGCAGAGGGGTATTCCAGGTAGGAGGTTCAACAAACTCTGAGTCTAACCCTGAACTCTGAGATGATTTACCCTGAGATGGGAAACTCTGAGTTACCGGTTCCAGAACAGCTGATTTGAGTTAGTTCAGTCAACTCTTAGTATGTTCACTCTGAGTTAAAACGACAATAAAAAGCAATCATCAATGGAGCTCCGACTCCACTATTCACCATGGCAACAGGTAAATAAAAGACAGCGCCTCCATTTTAATCCAGTGGATGTAGAAATATTAATGCATGTGTAGGAGACGGTGCACATTTATCTTTAAAAGACAAGCCTGAGTCAGAGCAAGGAAAGTGTAAATAAGTTAACCATAAAGTTAATAAAAAAGTTTTATTCAGTGTTGTCCGTTTATTCATCATTTATCAGACTTACATTTCCTTAATGAAGATAAAGTGGTGGAATCTGACTGTGTATCAGGCTGTTGATACATTACATTATATTAATAATATGTAATAATATATTTGTTCAGATTTAATCTGATGGGAAAAAACACAGGAGGCAGCAAAAAAATAGGAAAAATAGGAAGAATAGGAAGATTTAAAACATATAGGCTAGGCTATAGATCAAAGACATAAAGACATGACTGTAAACTCACAGTCTGACCCAGTAATAATATGTTTGGTGATTTGCACTTGAAAAGACGTTGAGGTTAAAATACAGTAGATTTTAAAATGTTGGACATCTATTTGTATCTTCACTCAACAGCATTCAGTGACTTTATTTCAGCTACAAATGTAGTAAATTTAAAGACACTGAAATGCTGCACCATTGCTCACTCAGAAATATTAACATATAATCCCCAATATTAGGCTATAGGAATTATGTTCCATCAGTGTGACCAATGACATCAGTGATAGAGATCATTAGTCATTGATACTACGTGTCTAAAGCTTCATACTGATTTTTAAAATTTAAGTAATTAGACCTACACATTATGTGCAATAAACATTTGGGAGCTGCTCTAACAGACTGAGGTCAGGACAGAGGTTTGATTCTGAGCTGAGGGTGAATCGCTGTGTAATATTTGAATGTAAAGACAAAAACTGATGTCCAAAGAAATGATTGATGTGCATAAATTCAGTAACTTAAGACAGTCCTGAGTAACAAACTAATATCCAGCAGGATTTAGACTGTGACAGACGGTAAATCTCCGCTAATTAATGTGCTTCGATACAAGCTTTGACATGGACTGAATGAATGAGGAAATGAAACAGCGTGTAAGAGGGAGGAGACAGAGAAAAACTCAGGGTTTACTGAAGAAAACCTGTCAGCGAGCAGGTTATGTTCACAGAGTCTGTTACCATGGTGACTGACTCAGAGTTTCAGTTACCTCTCTTTCTGGAACGGATAAGTCAGAGTTTCCCTCATCTCAGGGTTAACTTACTCTGAGTTTTCACATAACCCGCTTTCTGGAATACCCCCCAGAAGTTGTTAAAGCTATTGTGCGTAACTTCTACATGTCTGTAAATGTCCGTTACACCCAAGCCACTACTAGAGGAGATGACACAATGCTGATTAAGCCGATCGGCTCCTCTAACATCTTGCGGTATTTTTCAATATATATCATTTGGTGTTGACCGGCGACATTCCTGCGCTGGCGCACAGGAAATGCCGCGTTTTACCTCACAACAAGAAGGCAGGGGGAGGAAGAGCAGAGAGTCTCATAGCAAGAGGTAGAGCTCAGGTAGAAAGAGAAAGCAACATGGCGGAGAACCCAAAGAAGTGGCCGAGACAAGGTTCACAAGTGGATCCTACCACAAAGAAAAAGTCTGGACGTTCAGCTGAAGGTCTATTAGCAAAGAAGGAAAGTGACAGATGAAGAAGACAAACAAGGATTTGTATTGGCGTCGTTTTTCCTCAGTGGAGAGCCCTGAAGGAAGAAATTGGGCTGAGGGCAGACACGGATGTTGCCTTGCTGCTGTTGGATAAGTAAATGACTTGGTTTGTAATTATATTTTGAGTAGTATGTGTTGCTGTTACATGTACTGGACCTAGTACTTTATTATTTTCTTGGAAATGGTGCTATGAACGTAATGTAATGTTAGCAGCCTGGTGTTCGCCACGTTGTGTAGCATTGTGTATATGGTGTGTGGCGAGTGTTACTCTGTGTACACGGTGTGTGGCAAGTGTTACTTTGTGTACACAGTGTGTGGCGAATGTTACTCTGTGTACATGGAAGTGCCGGCTTATTTGTTGTAATAATGCATTATCCGCTGGGGGGCGACAGAAGTTACGCACTATAGCTTTAAGTAACCACTGATGCAAAAGACACTTTGTAAGCAGACAGGATTTTGTTTTGGCATTGGTTACAGCCCACAGTAACCTGTGTTAAACTTAGGGAATAAAAAGCCGATGAGGTCATGCCTCATAGCTTCATTGTTAAGGGTAGGTACAATGTCTTTTCATCTGCAGGAACAGATGAGTAGGCACTATTCATCAACTTATATGATGTATACGAATATGACAGCAGCAATATTTGAACGTCTCCACGGCAACGAGTCTCGAGGGCTGTCTATCAGCAGCTTGCGGTCTCTGCCCTCGCAGACTTTACGTGAATACGTCACACTACATGCAGCTAAAGTCTGCGAGGGCTCTGTCAGCAAGTCCAGAGGGTGGACATTTGAATACAGCCTCCGACTTGACCGCAGCTTGTTGTCACCGCCTCTTGCTGCAGCTGCCTGCTCTCATCCACTTTCAAGGCGAGGCACAGTTCACCTCGAACGATCCTACTGATGAGTGTCAATGATACAATCCTTGCAGTTAACTAATCACTCATTTCGGACTTTCCCCCTCTCACACACGTTGGCCTACACTGGCGGACTTGCTCCCTCCTTTAATAAGAAAGAAAACTTATGCAAATGTGCAGGTCACACATGAGCGAATAGTTATAAAAAAATATTTGCACTCAGAGTCACAGTCTGGAGCCCTGTATTTATATTATATGTATATAATATATAGTACCAGTCAAAAGTTTGGATACACTTTCCCGTTTAGTTGAATAAGAAAGTGTGTCCAAACTTTTGACTGGTACTGTATATTAGGGCTGCCACTAACGATTATTTTCATTGTCGACTAATCTGTCAATTATTTCTTCTATTAGTTGACTAATCATTTCATCAAAAAATGTGTTAAAATGTTGAAAATTGTTGGTCTGTCTCGCCCAAACCCCAAAATTACATCATCTAATGTCTTGTTTCATACTCACGCCAAAGGGTTTTAGTTCACTGTCACATGAGAGTGTGTAAAGCTGCCAATATCTAAACGTAAGAAGCTGCAGTAAGAGTATTTTGGGGTACTTTTATAGTACTTTTCTATGAAAAATGACTCAAACTGATTAGTCGACTACTAAAATAGTCACCGATTATTTTAATAGTCGATCGACTAATCATGGCAGCCCTACTGTATATATACACATATATATGAATTTGTAATTCAAGAATGAAGAACCCTGCTTATTGTGAGTGACTGTGTGTTTAATCATGGGTGCGAGTCAGGTTGGGGGACTTAAATTAGTGGGTGTGGCTTAGACTCTGACATACTGATGGGTAACAGGTCAATTCTGGTACTGAGCTTTATGGGTATGGGTGGGCGTGAGTTTTCAAAAATTGACCCCTTCATAACTTGTTTTTAAGATAATTCAAAAATAAAAATTTGACTGAGGTTTCGCCTTACTTGACCATGCTGCGGGGTCCGTCAGGGTCCATGGCGCTGACTGAGCCCACGGCCATGCCCACTGCAGCGTCCTCCTTCACTTCCATCAGATAGCTGGCTTTGTCAAACAGTGGCGGCTCGTCCACGTCTTCCACGGCAATCCGAACTGTGGCCATGTCTTTGGAGCCTGTAGACATTAAGTGAGGGTCCACCTGGGTGTTCTGGACCTGGATCTCTACTGTGTACGACGGCTTCTTCTCAAAATCCAAAGGCTGCAGAGGCAAAGAGAAATAAACAGGAAACACAGGAGGTATTATAGAGGATCCTCTTTGTTGGTACAGTAAAGTAACGGTATCTGGGTGAGCTAAAGCTCATATTAACATTGCATGGAAAAGTGTCATTTCTGCTGAGGCCACCAGAAATCTTTTTAGTTGCTGAATGCCCATCATCCAGTTTGGTTTGGTGCTGAGCAGGTGGTGTGCAGTGGGTCAGAGCTTTTTTGCTCAGCAGAGCAGCCTGCAACTTAATTTCATGCTGCTGGCAATGAGGCTGATCAGAAAACCATAACAATGAGCTGAAAGCATTTTAGCATCTTCCAATTTAGTGCACAGCCATTGTCAATATCAACTTATTGATTAATGCAGCTTTTTGGCAGGAATGGAATATAAAATTCATAAATATGTTTTCATTCATTTATAATCACCTGAAACTAAGAATTGTTGTGTTTTTGTTAACTTAGAATGAGTTGTTTATATCTACATAAACAGCTCACTCATAAGAAAAACAGATAAGAAAACTGTCATTTGAGGATTACAAGACTCTGTGGACCTCTTCTACAGAGTCTGCAATGTTGTTTCTACAGAACAGACAAACCAAGCACTGGCTCTAGATAAGGCCATTTGCATTTTTACAGGTGCATTGACCAAGATAGTGCTCCTACAAGAAATGTGCATGAGAAAAGTTTCAGTTGGTTGCAATCTGCAACCTCATTCCTAGATGCCACTACATCCTATACACTAAATCAGGTGTAGGCAACCTGTGGCTCAGGAGTCACATGCATCTCTTTAGCCCTTCTCAAATGGCTCACTGTGGCTTTGACAAAAAACGGAAATGAATGTTATTTTTTAACATTTTAATTTTCATTAATCATTGATTCCAAATCCAAAAAAGGAAAACGTCTCGGAGGAGAACAGAGAATTTCTTACTGACTGGACAACTTTGTTTGCTTTCACCACTAACACTGCAAAGTTTAAGTACCAAATAATCATAAACAGCCCACTGCAGAGTAGCTACTTAGTTGTAAAACACATTAATGCTCATTTAAACCCATTAGCAATGTTTATAGGCTAAGTTATAGTCAAAAGGCTGTGCTGCCTTTTTATATGTGACATATGTATTGCAGCTCCAAACAGATTTTTTTTTTTTTTTTTTTTTTTGCCAAAAATGGCTCTTTTAATAGTGAAGGTTGCTGACCCCTGCACTAGACCTATAAATATTGGTGACCTGTACTGACATTTAACCATCAAATATAATATTGTACTTTTTACTCCATTACATTTATTTGATAACTTTAGTTACTAGTTACTTTGAATATTCATTTTATTGATATGAAATATAAATTAACTAATAAATAATAATGTATCATTAGATTAAAATAAGAACAATAAATTCAGAAGTCACCAAGTGGTACATAAAGTAATTAAAATGAGCTCCACCTTAACCAGTTGCAACAATAAAGTGACGGAAACATTAATGCATCAATAATTATAATCCAATAATATGATATACATTATTCTGATATGGGCTATTCTGCAATCTAATGAGTACTTTTACTTTTGGTACTTTAAGTGTATTTTGATGCTAATACTTTTGTACTTTTAGTTCAGTAATGTTTTGAATGCAGGGCTTTTAACAGATTATACAGGTAACAGACTATATCTGCATGGTGGTATTGCTACTTTTACTTAAGTAGAGTACAGTATCTGAGTGCTTCATACATCACTGTATGCAGTCCATTTATTGAAATTAAAATTGCTGTAGGATTATGACAGAACATGTTAAATAAAGAAGATTAGATTAGATTAGCCTGAAATCCAGACTGCATTGCTGTTACATGCTTATACATTCCCTATAGTGATCCAGGCGAAGACTCGACCAACCAACCAAAATACAAACACAAACAGTGTTAACAGAGTTTTTGTCATAGTATTAGTAGGCTTGATACCATACAGAATATCACATTTACTTGTGATCCAGCGAGGCAATAACTTTAATGTATGATTTAATTTGATAGCCAAGCAGTAAGGCGTTAAAGGTAGGATTTACGGAATGTGGGGAAATATCTCTTTTTTTGTATGAGGGCTGTCTGGATGATAAAAGAATGAAAAGAACATCACATGCTGTTACAGGGTAAAGTTGAACATAAATAAAAATGTCATATATAGCAGCTAACACATTCAATCTGATAACAAATGATAATAGTTTTTCAAAAGTGCAAATAATGTGATGAATGAGTGAATGAGTAATGTAATGAAATGTGTTTCTTGACATCAGCTGTGACAATGCAGCATGCTTGTTGTTCCAAACAAGAACAAAGATTCAGATTTAGATTTGTGAAGCTCTGCATGAGCTGCCTCTACACCCTTAAAGGAATCTTGGATATTGTCCTCATCTCATATCCTGCTGACAGAATGTCATTATTTCTTTGTTGAAACTTGAAGATTTTCTTAGGTTGTGCCAGCAACAACGACAAAAGAATTTCTAAATATCAATTGTGATTGTACATCAGTAAACACACACTGTGTGAGGACACTGTGATAAAAAGCACCAGCCCTGTGTGTTGGTGCCTGCTGCAAAGGCGAGGGCTCGGGGTTGTGAAGGTAAAGATGAATAAGTTTAATTTGGTTTCTTTCATCTGTCAAGCATGCCCAGGCTTTGCATATTTAACAGTACGTGTATAACAGACTACATAGGCAGGATCCTTATGAGTAGAAAGTGTGGGATCTGCTGAATCACTGCTTTAGAATTCATTTGATTTAACCAATGTGAGAGAAAAATATCAAAATAATTAAAAGCTAGTCTCAATCAAGGGCAGAAATTCCATTTCAATGTAGAGGGAGACAATAAACAGAAATATTTCTCAAGAGCAATTTTTGGGGGGACCAACAAAGTTGCTGTCACAAATACTGTTGTAATGGAACCGGCATGTATTTAATGTCATGAACCTGTCAAATGTATTTAATAATTATATTTAAGTAATAATAATGTTTAGAACAGCATCCCTTATCAATACAGTAGCCCCACCATGCTGGTTATTTATAGTGGTAGGAGAGAGGCAATACCTGTTGTATTAACTGAATAACTGAATTAAAGCTAATATTTGCCTAATTGAATTTAATTTTCCCAATGTAGCATTTTTATTTGTTTTGCTATCAGTGTAAAAAAAACAACAACACTCACATCACTATGAAGGCTGCCAGAAACTTGATTTTTTTTTAAGTGTTTGCTGTAATTATGTCATTTTTTTTCAATGAAATCTTCATTTATTTTGAGGATTATGAACAAAATCACACCATAACAACAACTTTAAATGCAGGAAAAATATACTTGGAACTTAATTGTTTAAGGTACGTTGATTTAAAATATAGAATAATGAAATATTACAGTTACCATTTACAAAAGATAAAAAATTGGTATGAGAATGAAGTTTTCTCTTTCGTAAACACACTTCTGTAAATTGTAACAATCTAAACTGCACTAAAATTGGTCCAAAATTCTCTGAGTTTGAATGATCTTTAACGGCTGGGCTGTTTGTATGAGTGCTACATTCACACAGAAGATTCAATCGCAAGGTAATGAAGTGAACAAAACGCTGTCTGGTTACAACTGGTAACGTCTTTTATTCTGTTGAAAAGTAGAAGTAAATATAGGTGTCCCACATGTCTCTTGTTTAAAGTGAACTTTTGCAAGTAGTTACTTACTGGCGCTCAGTTTCCTCTACTCTAACACACTTCCACTGATCACAGTCAGTCCTGCCGAGTGCTGCTGTGTGCCGGTGTATGCGGAAACGGACCAAATCATTGTAATGCAGATGAGGGGGAGGATGCAATCTTTCTAAAGTTAGAAATGCATCGTGAAAAACAATGGTATTATCTCTGCTCTTTACATATACATAACCGAGGCTTCTTACAAACCTCTTCCACTTAATAACATGGGGAGAAAGGACATTAATTGTTCTTCAGATCTTGATTGGCATACTATTTGGCTAAATAGAACCCTGTCATCTAGAAACTTAAACCATCAGATGATACATTACAAATTCATTCACAGATCCTATATTACTCCTAAAAAACTCTATCAAATGAAGTTCAGAGATGATCCCTACTGTGATTTTGTTCAGACAACAAAATCTGTACCTTCATCCACATGGTCTGGCAGTGCCCGGAGGTTAACAAATTCTGGTTTAACATTTCAAGCATCCTGTCTAATCTTTTTGATAGAGTAGTCCCTCACTCACAGTGCCTGCTCCTACTCAATGATACTTCATCATTGAAGCTTACTATAAATGCCAAATGACTTTTTTTAGCCCGTCTTACAGCTGCAAAAAAATAATATCTTGTTGCTGGAAATCACCACATGCACTGTCAGTGAGAGAATGGCTGTTGGTCTATAAGGAGATTGCACAGTTGGAGTTGTCTATAGCTCGATCTCACCATGCCAAAGCACAAAACATCTCCTGCTGGTCAAATCTACTGCAAAGGATATCTGCTCTATTGTAGTATCTATAACTCTGACGCGATGCTTTGTTTATCTAAGATTTTCTATGTGATATTTTCTTCTTTTTTGTATTTTTTTTTCCTTTCATTTAAAAAAAAACAAAAAACTTTTCTATCTATTGTCATTATTACTATTTGTGTTGCTGTTGTAGCTAATGTTACTGTTTTGTATATATCTGCATAGGCCTGCAAATTCTACCGTGTCTTTTGGCCGGTATACACTGTGCGATTTTGGGCTGTCCCAGACCAAAGATGACCATCGTGGCGATATCTTTGGTCGTGGCTCTAAAACGGTGGTCTTACGTCGCACTGTGAGACAGGTTCAAGGACGGCCGTTGTCAATGTCTTGCGACCAAAGATAACCTGAGATAAATTTCTGACAGTGTCAGAAATTTAGGATGACTATCTCACAGTGTGACAGCTGCTACGACCTACGTCTACTAATCAACCAATAGAACTGCAGCAGGAAATGACGCAATGGTCACCGCGACACCGGC